CCTGGACCCATGGCTTCAAGGACATATCAGTGATTAGGGGATGGGGGACAGGTGCCTCAAATCTCAACAGGATGGAGAAATGGAGAAGGGATTGTGGCATGACCACACCCCATTGGGGAGTGCTTACTCCCTCTCCCTCTCCCTCTCTCTTTGTTTCTGCTTCTCTCTGGTAAGCACACATGCCCTTTGGCAATTAAAAACAAGTATAAATTGGTACAACCACTTTAGAAACCTGCTGGACAGGTCTAACACAGTAGTTCTATAGATACATTCCAGAACGTGGTCGGGCATTTTAGCTTGGAAACCATTTAGAAAATGACTTTAGAGAAAGAGTCGGCTTAATAAATTAGTACATTAACGCTAAGAGTCAGCTTAATGAATTAGTGCATTAACACTAAGAGTCATAGTTCATGACATTTACATATATATATATTAGTGATAGTCAAAATTAGAAACATGTTTATCAACTATAAAACAAATTGCAACATATTTATACACTGTAATAATATATAGCAATAAGAAAAAGACCATTGCTATAGAGTACAGTTTTCCTCTAGTAATTGGGTACTGTCTGTTTATACACACTGCCTGGTTCACTACAAATCAATTCCCTATGGAAAATTCTTAACCCCAGGCTGATTCTCAGTTCTGCCACTGGATGTGTACAACTGTATGTAATATGAGAATGATCAAAGCCTAATTAAGAAGATAAATGTTACAACTTCCTGACATACAGACTGCAAAGCTAAGTCAAATTCTGGGATTTAAAGTTTATTTATAAATCTCCTTTCCTTTAGACCAAAGGCTGTAGAAATTACTAAAATTCTGCTTTGTTTATTAGCTTGGAGCAATGAAAAATACAGTGCTCATCCTACAATAGCCACTCAAATGTCAACAAAATTTTAAATGTCCTATCCACCAGTTCCATGAATTTTCCCTTTTTTCTAGCTAACTCTACAAATTAAGACATGGGCCCAAATAATAGAAACTAACTTTTTAATGTCAATCTTTCAGTTTATTGATTAAATCCTGTTTGTGATTTCAGAAAGAAAGCGTCCCTGAAAAAGATTTAAAAGTCAGGATAGGGAACCAGCAGTTAGCGTAATGGCTATGTCGCTGGACTCCCATGTAGTCAACCGCGGTTCGCGTCCCAGACCTGGTGGCTTAAAACTCACGCCGGGCACGTGTGCGTGCGTGACCAAGATCCCAACAGGCGAATGGAGGAGAAGGGATTGCAGCGTGACCATCCCCCCAGGGGGGTGATTTCTTGCTTTCTGTCTCTATGTCTCTGTCTGTCTGGCGAGCGCACGTGCCCTAGAGCGAGGAAAAAAAAGAAAAAACTCTCAAAAAAAAAAAAGTTAGGATAAAGCTCAAAGACTCAGAAAGATTCGACTTTGAGCCCAAAAATCAAAAGTAAAAGAGGTTTGTTTTCAAATCAAGACTGCTGCAGAAATGTTGCATAGCACCTCTTTAAAATTTGGCTCTGCCAGATTATGCTGCAAATGCTCCAAGATGTATTCCAAAGTAGCAGTGCTTTGATTCATGGGCAAAGTAACCCCAAGTAATACTGTACCAGACCTACTGAAACTCCTGAAAAGTCACATTCCACCACCCCACCCCATCCCACCCCACCGCACCCCACCTGTCTGAAAGCACAGACTACACAGACTGCCACCAGGTTATAGAACCTGAGACCAGGGTTTCTCTATCTCAGCACAACTGACTTCTAGACCAGCTAATTCTTGGTTGTTGAGGACTGTGTGCACTGCAGGATGTTCAGATACATTGCTAACCTCTACGCACTTAGATGCCAGGAGCCCTCACATGACAATCAAGTATGTCTCAGACATTGCTAAAGTCACTGGACTGAAAAATTGCCTCTAAAAACCACTGCCCTGGGGACCAGCAGATAGCGTAAAGGTTACATCACTCAACTCCCACAGTCAACCACAATTCAAATCCCAGACCCAGCGGCTTAAAAATCATGCCAGGCGCGTGTGCATGCTTACCCAAGTTCCCAAGAGGAGAATGGAGGAGAAGGGACGGCAGCATGGCCACTCCCCGGGGGAGGGATTTCTCACTGTCTCCCTGTCTCTCTCTGTCTCTCTGGTGAGCATTTGTGCTATAGCAAGCATACATGCTATAGCAAAAATCTCTCAAGAAAAAAACAAACAAACAAAAAAAACATTGCCATAGAAAACAACTATCATTGGGACCTGCAGTTAGCATAATGGCTATGTCGCTGGGCTCTCATGTAGTCGACCATGGTTCGAGTCCTGGACCCGATGGCTTAAACTCACGCCGGGCACATGTACATGCATGCCCAAGATCCCAAGAGGAGAATGGAGGACAAGGGATGGCGGCATGGCCATCCCCCCTGGGGGGTGATTTCTCGCCTTCTGTCTCTCTGTCTCTCTTTGCCTTTCTGGCAAGCGCACGCACCCTATAGCAAAAACCTCTCAGAAAGAAAAAAAAAACCTTACCCAGCACTACCAGGCCATGCTAACCTTGATTCATTCATGAATACCTGCTTATACACTCACCATCTTTGGGTAGGAAAAGAGGCAAATCACCTAAAGACTGCACTTGGCTTTATAAAGTGTCTTTTCCTTAAAAGCTACAAGTATTTGGCAATTTACAAAGTAATATCACGCCCTGGCATTAAGGAAGAGGAGAATATGGATGAAAAGAATAGTTGCCAAAGTGGAGAAAAGAATGCTACAGCTTGCCTAACTTGAATTCCCTCTAATAGCATCACAACTCTCCACAGATGCACACACTGGTTTTAGTCTCCCAGAGGCGCAGGTGCAAAGTATTACAGTCCATACCATGCCACATATGAGGAAATGGAAATAGGCAGTCAAGTCACCCTAATCAAATGAGGACACAATTGGCAGCCAGATGCAGATCTGACAGCCCAAGTGTGGATCCAAGGCTACATGGACTCCAGTCGATCTCCATGTTTTCTCTCAATGCACACTGTTCACATACGTGGTTTTTAACCCTACTGGACCCAATATTTATAATAAACATTTTGCAATGCCCCTTTACTATTCTGAAATCTCTCACACACTACCTAAAATCATCCTGTTCCCCGCCTCCAATCAGAGCAGATCACAATTTAGTTTTCCTCTTCTTTATCCTGCCTGCAGAGCTTACAGAATTGGTCACTATTGGAAGTCAACACCAGATATAAGGAAACCTCACTACTAGTTTTTGCTACTTTCACAATGGAAAAAACCAACTCCCTAGGATAACGGGTCTCTCTCTCTCTCTGTTTAGAGAAAAGAACTGTTTTTAAATTACTAATTTTAAACAAAGAGGTATCAAACTCATAGAAGTGACTTTTCTTTTTTTAAACTTTTGTCCTTATTTACTTTTTTATTATTTTATTAACTTTATTTTATTTTACTTATTTGTTTTAATTTGACCAGAGAGAGAGAGAGATGGAAAGTGAGAAAGCAAGCTGCTAGGTCCGGGACTCGAACTGTGGTTAGCCATGTGGGAGTCCAGTGACCTTAACCACCACACAGCCTGCTAGTCCCAGAAGTGACTTATTAATTAAAAACCTGCCCCAGGGGCCAGCAGGTGGCGTAGTGGTTAAGGCACTGGACTCAAACATGGTCAATCAAAGTTCAAGTCCTGGATCTAAGGGCTGGAAACTCAGGCTGGGTGCAGGTGCTTGTATGTTCAAAATCCCAAGAGAAAAATGGAGAAGTGATTGCAGCATGGCCATCCGCAGGGCAGGGAGGGGGGGGTAAGGTTCTTACTTTCTCTCTCTCTCTCTGGAAAGCGCACATACCCTATAGCAAAAATCTCTCTCTTTGGGAAGGGAAAAAAAAAAACTTACCCCAGGCCATAACGGCACAGGGACAACACAATGTTCTGCACTGAAAGACTGGGGTTTAGCTCCTGAGGTGATGTGTACACACCAGGTGCATGGGCCTGTGCTCTTGGCTTGCTGAAAGACTGAAAGGTAGTGGAGGGCTGGGTCATAGCATGAACCCTGCTAAGGGTGCTTGTCTCTCTTTTGAAAGAAAGAAATAACTTTTTTATTTTTGGCTATAGGATATGTTTGCTTGCCAGGGAAAGAAAGAGAGAGAAAAATTACCCAGGGAGGAAGGAATTGTCACACTGCAATCTCTTCTCCATTTCTCCTTTCATGATTTTGGACATGTATGCACATGCACCTGGCATGTTTTTCAAGTCACTAGGTCCAGGATTCAAATTATGCATGTGGGATCCAGCTGCCTTAACCATCATGCTACCAGCTGGCCCCTAAATAAATAACCTGAAATTTTTTCTTAAATAATAAATAAACCCAGACACTTTTTAGGTATCATTATTTTAAAGTGACAGGCTCCCTGTAATTCTTACACTGAAGAGTCTATGCATAATCAAAAATGTCCAAATAAAGTGGCATTTTAGGAAACATTAATATGGCAATGCTACTCTCCCTGCTCAGCCAATAAATGGCACAGAAAGATCCCAAGAGGAGAAAAGAGCCTCTAGCAAAACAGGAATATTTTCACAGCCCAAAAAAAAGAACTTAAATTCAGACAAGTTCAAGTCAACTAGCATTTGCTGAGCACTTATTAAATTCAGAGCACCATAAGTGTTTATTCTCTCTAAACAAGTTAGACATTATCTGCCTTCCAAGAAAACATCTGGGGGACATCTAACAACTGAAGTATGGAAGATCCTGATAAAATGTAACAGAGGTTTTTAAATGCCTCTGGCAGTATGGGAAGAAAGAATTAAAAGTGCAAAAATTCTGAAAAAGATTCTTCAAGAATTTTTAAATGCTACATATGCTATCTTCATATATTTAATTCATTTACTCAATCTGACTATTAACTCAAAGCAAAAGGTGGCAGAAATGCTCACCTACCAAAAGCAAGCAACAGAGGAGAAACCTGCACACTCCGCTCCTTTGGAATACAAGTCAAACTTAAGAGACAAGTGCCCTCTACCAAAAAGGGTGTCTGGAAAAGGCTCACCAACATCAGAAGGTCTGTGCTAGGCATCTTCCTCTTCCAGCCGTCCTTCCAGTGGCTCCCTTTCTCAGTATCTGTAAAAGAAAACCAGATTTGTTTACTTCCAAAGCTTCAACAGTCTCACCATCCGCCTAGACTCGGAAGATGTGGTTCTCTCCCTCCTCTTTAGGCTCAGATTTCACGCCCAGATATCACACTCCACCCCTGGCACCCCAAACCAGCGAATCACAGTACTGCGGCAACGTGCTGCCCTCCCATAGTTGACGAAACGCAGCTAGACCCAGCCTCCTACAAAGCATTCCACCCAGGTAACACTAGGGAAGACGCCCAGAGCGCCCCTATGCCGAGCCCGGACCATTCAAACTAACCTGGGCTGAGCCGTCGGCAGCCCCAGATCCAGGGTCCAGCCTGCTCCAGACTCCGTCCCGCAGCAGCCTGGCCTGGCTCTCGCCTTCACCCCTTTCCCCATAACCTTTCCCTCGCGTCTGGGGATCAGCAAACCCTGGCGGCCCAAGCCCACTCCTCCCACGCGTCGGGGGGCCGGGCTCCGACCTACACCACCTCGCCCCGGCGCTCGCCCTCCATCCCCTCCTAGACCTTCCCCGTGCCCAGACCCTGGGCGTCGGCGCCCCGCCCACAGCCCGAGCTCGTCGCAGGCCTCGGCTGCCGTCCCCGTACGCTCGCCCCGGGTTCGACCCGGCCCCTGCCCTCTCCTTACCCCTCTGCCCCCGC